GAGAGAGAGAGAGAGCTCAATTTGCCATAATACAGAGAAATAGATTACTCAGAATTCCAAATTTATCCTCAGTCTGCATGCGGACGGTCTGCACAAGAGACGTTTATTTTTTTTTATAACTGGGATAAATTTATATGTCAAACTCTTTTATCCAATTCACTCGCGTCGACTTTACTATAGTTTACTAATTAAATAAGAGCAAACTTTAAGTAGGGGCAGATTAGTTCCATTAAACATTAAAAAGAGATCTCTAATTTTTTAGAAATTCCATCCTGTGTCCTTTATTTTTACCGGTAAATCGATTTAATGCTTGAATCAAGCAGACCCTAAAAGTACTCAGACAGTCAGATTCAACCACTTTCACAAGATAATAAGTGAATAACCAACTTGATGGCCAAATGTTTTCATCGGACAGGTTCATTTTGTAACAAACAAGCACTAAAAATATTTTGTTGCAGTGTTGTTTTCATAGCAGAGGAGAGACCGTTGGCATCTCCCCCTACCACACATGGTTAAGGACTTTTTATCCAAAAACTATGGTTAAGGACTTAAGGCTCTCCACTTTGGTGGATCTTACCAATTTTTTTTTATTCTATACCAACATTGAAGAGCACAAGTATAGTACAAATATTTGAAATATTTCCATTTTATCAACAAAAAATATTTGGACAAGTTCAGTATCCCCAACGAGATTTTTTTTTTTTTTTTGCAGACTAACCTGAAATTAACACCTGATCCCACCAGATTCTGAAATATAATAGTGTCAAAAACTCAATGTATACAATAAAAAGCTTAGCTTTGAATAAAGGTCAGTTACATTGTAAAACCCAAGGATTCTTCAGGGTGGGACCTGTAAAACCCAAGGATTCTTCAAAATAAAGGTCAGTTACATTGTCATTCTTGTCACCGATACAGAGTTGAAATATGACACTTTCAAAAATTCTACGTACACTGTACAGCTCTCTCCCAATCACTTCAAGGCTTTACCAACTGCAACTACAGCAGAAAAACATTCTTTACAGAAGCAACATATCATGGTTCGAAAGCCTCATACAAACTACCACCTCACATGATACAGAAAACTTGATCCTTTCCCTGCCTAGTAATATTTGCAGGGATGAAAGAATTACAGCTGTAGCAGCCTTAGGGAATCACAGAAGACCACATGGAAGAATATATTTAATACCAGAGCTTGTGGTTAAACACAATGTTTACTTAGCAGCATACCAGTTCTGTGCACACTTGGCATCCACGGCTAGATCAACACTGAGAATGTTAGTGCCATCAAAAGGTTTGGACATACACTCAACAACTATAGCCTTTGCCACCTCTGCTGACTCTGCTGGACCTTCCAATATTACTTCATCGTGAACCTGCTTCAACAAGGATTTCCCATTAATGGAGACAACAGTAAGACCACAACGTAATGAGCTAAAGATATAAAGAGCAACGTCACTCAATAAGCAGAGAAACAATGTGACTAGAAGCTCTAATTTTGGAGTTGATATCTGAAGACAACGGAAAGGAAATACATAAGACACAAGTGAGAACATAATTAAGGAAAATTGAAGACATAATATCAATCTAATTCATTGGAGGAATCTGGCAATCAAAACATCAAGGAAACGTTTAACAAGGATGATGATTGGTGGATTCATAGTACAACACCACAGAATATTGAAACAATTACTTGAAGAGAGTTGAACTTAAATGTTTATTAGTATGAGGCATTTCAATGGTACGCATCAAATGAAGAACCACATCATATCTATCTATGCGCTAAAAAAAGGGTCGTGTTGTCTAGGGGTGTTATTTGAACCGACGAGCTGATCCCAAGCCAAGCCTAAATAGTGTACAAGCTATTTTTGTGTTCAAGCTCAGAAAACGAGGTGAGCCGAACCCAAGCTTCACACATGATAGTAATATACAAGCCGAGCTTTGGTATGTTTAAACGAGCTGATCCCAAGCCGAGTCCAAATTTATACAACAGAATTGTGTGTTCAAGCTCGGCTCCTTTAAAGACACGACCCTTCGTGGGATTCGTTCTGACGAAAGAAAATATGAAGTTTATGAACACAACCTGCAAGAGAAGCTTCCATCCAAGCTCCCTCAAACGAGCATTTTTAGATATTTCAAGCATGGCACACATAGCAACATCCGCAGCACTACCCTGTAAACCAACAACATAAACATGTCAAATTCCAGAATTTTTTTCCTTACAATTAATTTCCTTACTTCAGTTAGAATTGTGACCTGCACAGGGGTATTGATAGCAGCTCGTTCAATGTGTCCTTTGTGAGAGTTACTAGCACCTCTCAGCGAAGGAAAGGAGCGAGTCCGACCTAACAACGTTTTAACAGATCCTATTGTATTAGCTTCTTCCTTCCGTTCCTTTTGCCAATACAAAACTTCCTTTCTATCAGAATACCAGAGATTAACTGTTGCCTTTGCTTCTTTCACAGAAACCTAAAGTATAAAGGTAACATAAGTATAATGAACAGTTACTTCACTTGATTCAACATAAAAAAAATTCTGACAGAATCTTAGAGTTTATTATATATACCTTCCAGTCCCGTGCAAGCCCAACAGGAGTCTTACCATATGCAATGGAAAAGTTGAGCATTTTTGCCTTTCTTCTTTCAGAACCGAAGGCATCCTGAGATAATGACATAAAAAAAACTGAATTTACATAGAAACAAAGCATATGACTAGAAATACAACACAGGCAACTAGAAGAACATAGCAAATTAAGTCAGGGAATGAGATCTAATGACTTCTGCAACCCTCAAACTTCAAGAAATTACAAATGCTAGATACTCAATGTAAAATTTTAAATCTTTTAATATTTTGGACAAGAGAGATAAAATATTAATTAAAAAATTTCTTAATGTTTCTGCAGCATGAAAGGTAGCAATATCAGATGCCACTGCCAGTGAACATACATGCAAAATCTTTGTGGTTCCTTTTTCACAAATAAAAGCCATATCTGAATCTTTTCTCTTTCGGTATAGGTGTACTCAGCCATTGCTTTTGTGCCTCTTCTGAATCAAATATGAAGAACTCAAAAATTTTGTTTGCACAAACTTTACTGCATCAACTTGCTGCTATATATGTACCAGAAAAGTATACTGAGTTTCTCATGTACAATTTGTAGTCATGTTACCTTTAATAAAGGAACTGGGGATTTATCGTCACTGGACTGTGGATGCCACTCAAGTAACACTTCTTGCTTCTCTACAGCTTCACGTATATGCGAGTACATATTCATTGCTGTCCTAGAATGAAAATCACCACCAGCTTTGAAGGCATCCTTCATGCTCCTACAATTTGCAAGATGTGCTAGGATTCTGAGTTCTAGCTGAAACCACATTTAGCTTTCAATAATCAGATCAAATAAAAAAGACACATGTCTTAAAATGGTTTCTAGAAAATCGAACAAGCCTTAACCTGTCCATAATCAGCAACAATAAGAGAATTTCCAGGTGCAGCTATAAATGCCTGGCGGATCTTGTATCTATCCTTCTCTAAAGCAGGCTGGTTCTGATTTCAGAAAAGAAATTGAAGCTCAAGCAAGTTTCGAAAGATATAATTGAAAAGAAACAAATATGTTTATTTCTGTAAGGACAAATGTGTAAGGCTCGAATGCCTATCAATGACTGGGTAAAATTTATCAATGAAAAATTTTAACGATCACTAATTCTCCAAAGCTTGAAAGGTGGAATGAAGACTGCCATCAATTAAAAGTTCTATATAGCGCCATGTCGGTCAACAACCCAATAATATTTCCAAACTTCCCAAACGAGTGGGAAAAGTAAGTCGTCATAGAGAAGGGAAAAAGGTAACAGGAAACACGCAACAATTAGTTTCCAACCACATTAGCCAAGGGGAAAGAACACGGTTTCAAACAGGTCTCATTTTTTAAACTGTAAAAAATGTCGCTCGAAAATCAGAATGATTTGGAGAGTGCCTCAAAGGACTTCGGCCAAAAATCTGGAATTATAATTAGGCCATAATCCAGAATAATCTTCCTCAACAACGACTGCAGGCCTAAAATGAGGCCACACAAGCCAAGGGGCACTTTAGCATCCATTCCTCCCCAGCAGGCAGTGCAACTTCTATCCATATCAAAAAAACTGCAGGTCTAGAATGAGATATATGCATCACACACCAAACAAAACACCCGAGGAAGGGCAGATGCCCACCAACAGTGCCATTGCTTCTTCAAACTCAAATTCAAACAACAACAACAACAACAACAACAACAA